TTTTTCATTACAAAAAAGATCCAATTGGTTGTTAAAGATAGTCTTTAAGTTAAAGAAGGTAATTTAGCTGGAATACGTGTCAATTTTAATTTATGTTAAGCATTCGTAATTCGCATAAAAGTACTTGATTATTTTTTTATGAACATGCAAAACTTATTGGGATTTCTAATTTTTGTTAAACTGAGATATAATTTTTGTAAATTTTATTAAATTGTAAACTAATTTGAAATTTAAAAATTAATGTGAGAGATAAGAAGGTAGAGGCATGCAAAATTTTCGTCAAATGAAAAGAAATCTTAAGCGCAAATAATTTCCGAGTACCAGTGGAAAATTTTATCTTCAGGGAAGAGAAGACCACTAATTCAAAGATTTCGCCTATTTTAATATCTGAAATCTTCTCCAAATGAGTGTCATCTGATTCATAGGAAAATAATATTGAATGTTATTGTGTACATAACACTGAATGCTGTTTATGAGTCTTTTTTTTTTTTAACAAAGCAGGAGAAACACCCTTTTTTAAAGATGAAATATTATCTAATTAAAATGCCCGAAATTAAATTTAAAATGAAAATTTTAGTTTACATAATGTCATTATTCCTATTAAAATATATCATATTTATTAAAATATGTAAATATTTCCATAAAAAAAGGTAAAAGTCCTTTGTTGTGAGTGATATACAATAACATTTTTCAGAATTCAGTTTTAAAAGGAAAAAAGCAGAAATTATGTGTACTATGACTTTATTTCTCTAGAGCAGATAAAACACGGATAAAACATCATATTTTCCCTATCAACGCACAACAGTTTAACAGATTTCAGCACCAACAATGAGTATTATTTAAAAGTCTATCGCTTGACAAACACGAAAAAGTACAAAAGCATGATAAAATTTTCACGGGAATGGTAAAATTGATATTAGCTTAATTAAATCTTAGGAACAAAATAGTAAGTATTTCATCACAAATTTGGCATGTGTAAATACTAAAAAAGAAGTCAAAATTACAAGTACTGAATTATCTTTACTCAGTGATGTCAAGTAGGATAACACTTTCAAGTAGCTTCTACATGCAAAAATGCAGATACAACAAATAGACTAGATATAAAAGTTCTATAATGGCAACGACTTTTACTAGCATTTCTACTCTCAATATATAACTTACGTAACTAAGATGTCAAGTAGCGAAAAACAGTCATAAAAATGTCACTTACTTAAGATATAATAACAAATGCCCCTCGAAAGGAAAACAACATCAAAAATCATAAAAAAATAAATATTAGAAACACTTCACCCAAATGAGTAGAAGCACGACAAAAATCCTTTATATATTATATATAAATATATACACATATATGTATGCATGTACGTGAGCATTAAACTGATGTACAGTGCAAAGAAAGATACACTTAACGATAGTTTCCGATCTAAATGCACTGAACAAAAGGGGAAAAAAAAAGGTTTCATATTTCATATAGTATGCATGCATTTCCTTTAAAGGCACGTTAGTATGTTTTAAAGGAGAAAACACTTTTTCATCTTTGCATCGGAAAAGCAAAAATCGGTGTTAAGAAGAAATTAATTAAAAAAATCATGTGCTTTGTTAGTTAAGACATTTGAAATTTTACTTTACTTGAGTTAAATTTACTTGGCTTACTATCCATTTCTTTTAAAATTTAGCCAAAACTATAGAACATGAAAAATTTTATAAAAAAGAATAAAGATGTGAAGACTTTCTTAATCCTCCACACTAATTAAAAATAGAAATGTTGAATATATAAGTTTCAAAAACGTAAACAACAATATAATTTTCATAGAAAATTGCCAATACAGTATTATAAGTAAGTGCATCTAATGTTTATGCTCATTCTATTCTTTACCTGGCGCTGTGTAGGATGTTAGCATACAAGAGGTGAAAAGAAGAAAATGATTCTAATAAATTTTTATAAGAACATTTACACTCAAAATTGATTTTAAAAGCTCAACTTAAGCATTAAAAAACTTAATTTAAAAACTAACTGGTGCTAAAAAATTTATGCATTAAACAGAATTTTCACTTTAATTAAGGTTTGCTGTTGTTTAAACTCTACTTAACTTTATTTCTGAAATTGAGGGTCTTGTTGTTGCACGTATATAAACTTAGTAAAGTTAACGCAAACTAAAACCAAATAATGTAATTTTAAAGTTTATTTAATCTTTTTTATAACTAGCTAAGTAGCAACTGTTACTGTAGGGCTGAGTGTAGTCCGCGTTTGTAAAAACGGTATCAAGTTCACGTGTAAATTTTCTGATCGAGACACTTCACATGCGTTTTTTGTTTGTTTTTTAACATCTTTTAAATGTGTTCCTGATGAGAAAAACGGTGGAATTTTTACTTACGCTTAGATGTTTTCTGAGTACAATTGGGAAAATAAATAAAATGAAAAAATAGCTGATGTAAGTACAGGCAAAGGATTTCTAAGCAATATTTATTCATTTCTATTTTATATTCGGTTTCGAAACACATTTATACCTGATACTACATAGCTATATACTATGTCAGAAAAATAATCGTGAAGATTAAAACACATAAATACAACAACAAAAAACTTTGCAGCAAAAGCAGTTCACTAATAAAACACAGCGCATAAATATAACCTTCGAACAGGGTAAGTTAATTAGGATTTTCACATATCTGTGTTTTTCAGAAAAAATTTGTTAATAACTGTTGTCATTGTTTTTTATTTCTTGTCTATCAAATCAAAAAAATCTTAAAAGGCATTTTATAAGCATGAAATCAATTTCATTTGAAAATTTCAAACATAAACTAACATTTAAAAAAATAAATTTATATATACTTTATTTTATACATTTTCCTTAAAGTGTTAAAGGCCCACCAGCGGCCGAGCGGTAAAGACGCTGAACACCGGTAGTTCTGAGGTCGATCCCGCGAACGGGCTCTGCTGCGTTTTCGTGGTTTCCCCTGTTGGTAGGCAGATAGCCCTCGTGTGCTTTGCCATAATTAAATACACCAGAAAAAAAAATACACCTTAAAGTGTTAAAAAGACGGGTTGACGAATTTTTTGTAAAAAGGATTTTTTTTTTTTTTTTTTTTTTTTTTTTTTTTTTTTTTTTTTTTGTTTTTTTTTTTTTTTTTTTTTTTTTTTTTTTTTTTTTTTTTTTTTTTTTTTTTTTTTTTTTTTTTTTTTTTTTTTTATTATGATAGGAATGAACAGTTTCCCCTTATACCATAATTTTTTAGTACAAACAACAGAACTGCATTTAGGCGGATTCTACATATCCGGAACTAAAGCTTTCCAGATGATTTTCCTCCTTTCCAGGCTAGGTAACATTCATTTAGTTACGCACTCTAAGGGTTTTCCAATACAGCTATGTTTTAAAGTATTTCAAATTTAGTTATGTGCTTTAAAGATCTTCGTTTATTTAAATAATATGAAAGTATAACACAGTGAAGTGCAAATTTCTAAAAAGCTATCACATAAACTTTGGTTAATAAATTAAAATAACAAATAACATTAAATTTTAATAAGTAAATAATTAGATTGTTATTTTTCCAATTAAAAATTATAGTTTTTCACTAACTGCAGATGTAAAAATTTAATAATATGTAATAATAATTAGTTAATTATTACACGTCGGCCCTCTTCCCCAGAAATTTAATTTTAGAATGGAATTAGGCTATGCTTAGGTTTTGTTCTTGTCATCATGGTAAATGTCTCTGCTTATTACAAAAAACAGGTTAATTTGCGAAATTTAACTTCAGTACATATCTATTGTTACTCGGTAGAGATAATAAATTACTTAATACATTTAGAATTAATTAGACTATTAACGTATACTACTTGTAGTTTAAATGAGAATTTTAAGATTTTCTTTATGTAAGAAAGGCTCTTTGACACATGACAAATGCAGTGCAACTTCTTACAGCCTTAACCTGGATAACACATCACTCAGTAAATCCGAAATATCTCAAATGCATATCTGTATAAATCCAAAACTTTGCTTGTTCCGTCACTATTTCAGGGCGAACTCAGCTTCCTATGCCGTTTTGAGCTGAAACTCGTATTCTATTACTATATATCATTACAGAAAGAACGTTTAGAGTCTGTAACTTATTTATCCGATAAGTTGGGCAAAGAAAGAGACAATGCCAGTATTTTTAATCTCTTCCTACCCAGAATACCTTGTGTAATTCCGAAGAGATATATTTCAAAAAATGGAATCTTGTTTTTCTTTTCAATGTGTTGCCTCTTCTTGGAATTCTTTTTAGTATTTGGCTTTCAGACTGGCCTACTGGTTTGCGATTTTTACTGAAGCATTAGATATCAGACCTTTTAAAAACATGTAAGTCTTTGCAAACATGCAGTTCTGCGGAAGAATTTTAGTTCTTTTATTTCCTCGTACTTAGTTTAAAACGGGGGAAAATTTATTTTGAAAATCCTTTAAGATTTTAAAGTTAAAGTCTTTTCGAACCTTGTAGAGATTACTTTCTTGTTAAACACTAAAAAAATCATGTCTAAGTATAATAAAATGGATATTAAAAGAAGAAAAGGAATAGTTTATAAAATGCCATCATTAGGAGGGACTACTTTTGCTAAGGCATGCCTTATGCTAATGACCTCCTTACGAGTTACTCTTTCAGATAAAAATCAATCATAAAATTCGGTGAAAAAAGGAAAGAAGAAAGTAATTAGCACATAGAACTTCTAGTAATTAAAAAATCATTATTTCATTGGTTATAAGCAAATCTTTCGGAAACTTTTTAGAATTATTCCCGTAAAGTCCAATGGATAGCTATTTTAAAAGAAAATAAAAATGGCATTTAAATAAATAAAATGCTTCCGTCTATCTAGTTACTAATATTTGAATTTCATAAGAAAATGTGAAAGGTCAGTTTAATTTTGTCTTCTGTTTTCGCTGTAGAAGTCATTTCGTTCAGTAAGTCCCCCCCTTTTTTTAATCAGTCCCGAGAGTGACGTACTATTAAGCGTGGATAGCTGCAAATCTAAAAAAAAAAGCAAACGACAAAAAAAAAAAACTTGCTAATATTTTAACAAACTGACTAGTTGAGCCTTTTGATAGTACTGTTCGTAATATCAGTAAAAATTAAGAATCTTGTATGAAAACACTTTTAACATAGCACTAAAATAAAATGAATATTTCTATGAAAAAGAAATATTCTGTTCAATTTTAGATTTACTTTATACGATGTGCCTTTTTTCAGCTATCTGATATGTGATTTGTTCTGTGCATTTTAAGGTCTTTGAAACATGCTGTTCAAACTACAGGGTGTTGATGAAAATGTATTCCGAACCATTATGAACTTCATATTTTAAATGACATTTAAATCTTTCATTTACTGAATAGCAGACTCAGTCGATCTCATTCCAAAATAGTAAGATGTATTTAAGGACCGAATGGCATTACTGGCTCGACGAGTGAGCTCAGAACTTTTACTTAAAGAGTTCACTGACTGACTATATCATTCAAACTTTATTGGATCGAGATGTGTATCTTCCTTTTTAACCCTGTACAATAACAAAAGTAAATTCTTTATATAAAAAGCTTATAATAGTGCGCTTAAACTTCTTTGAATGAGATAATTAAGTTTAAAAAATACAAATATTCTTTATTTAAAAGTATGTTTCGATATGTTTTTTGCCTTTCTTTTTGTTTAATGACATAACTTCTTAAAAAATGGAAGGTATAGTAACTTATTATAAATTTACACTGGTGTATATACATACAAATTCAGCATTTAGAAAACAGCACGAAAATATAGTTTTAGATAAGAAAAGTATTTTAACATCGAACATATGCCAAGATTCATCTGGATATATATATACAAATGTTCGGTAACAGATATTTTAGTTTTTAAAAAATTTTTAAACTTTCTGATCCCTTTCAATATAGAGTTCTCGTACAGACATTTTATTTTCATTAAATAGTCAGACCGTCTCTATATAACAAAGATAGTCTGTCTAAATATAAATTAGCACACTTTGCAAAGAACTTTTATATAAAATCATGTATAGATTATATTTATTCCAATGTAAACATAACCCGCGTTCGAAGGGGCACGCGAACTTAAATGAAGAACAAATCGAATAATATCTTCACATAATTTTACACATATGTAAAATTCACTATAAATCACGAGAAGTACCATATGACAGTACTGAACTAAACAATTTCTTTCAACAGACTGGGAAAAGGTATAAAATTTACAAACTTCGTCGATAAATCCTTCTCGTAAAACTTTCACTCAGAAATGTTTGAATAGAATACATAATGCACTTCAATAGAGTCCATAGAGTGAGATTTCAATTATCTAAAATAGATCTATAAAACTTTTATCGAAATCTTTATAAAGATATAATTTGTAGAATTCAGAAAATTCAACTTTTGTAACTTTTGATGCATTGCAACATTCCTTCAATTACGAAAATTATGATATGAGGGTTTTTATTGTAAGGCTAATAAACTTAGATGCGTGAAATATAACAGAAAGAACTTTTTTTTTCAAATTAAAAAAAAAAAAAAAAAAAAACATTCCTTTCCTTGAATGCATGGAGATACGACAAGCCGATCTTAATAAGCCTTTTGGTTAAGCTGAAACAATGCTTCTTAGAAAAGAGGGCTTTCATTGCAAAATTTTAAGTCACTCATATTATGCTTATGGATTGATGCCCTTTCAGAGAAGAAGTATGATATGTTTTGTTGAGATTAGCATCTGATCATATTAAGTGTAAATTTTATCGAGACATATATAAATATTGCTTTGAAAAAGAGATTACAGCATTAGGGCTCTAATTGAGTAGCTGTTCCGTAAATTTAAGGTACATTTTAATATACATATCTGGATATTTTAATATAAAAGTATACGAAACATTTTAACACATACATTTGTTTTTTAAAACTCACATTTTTTAAAGCATTTGATTGTTTTACAAAGATTAAGTACTGACACTGATTTTCATGATAATAATTTCAGAATACGATACTTTGTTGCTTCTTAAATATAAAAAAACAATTTACTTCACTATCACATCAGATTCGCCCTTCATTTTTTATGCGCTTTGAGTTTATGCTAGGGAACTAGGAGATTTAAATTCCCCGTTGCAAAAACACTTTAAATAAAAATGTATTTTATGCATTATTTAAATTTTTGAAATATAAAAGTGGAAAGACAAGTTAAATATAATAACAATTATATTATTAACATATAACTCAAACAACAATTGTATTGTTATAAGTAAAATGATTAATAACAAATAAACCCACTGCAAAATAATTTTAATGAAGGGGATTTTTTACTAAGATATTAGAAATGTAAATTATCGAAAACTGGTAACATTAATACGTGAACTTTTCAATAGTTAAAATGCTAATTTAACTGCAGTTTTGTTAATACGTACTCATACTGAATTTTTCCATTATTGCGATGACTTCATACTTTTAGCCCATGCTTCAATATTTTTGAAAACGTATCGTTCTATTTTTCTGTTATTTAGTTTTCAATTCACATTTCACACCCTTCTTTACGAAATTTGAAATTCATATAAACTGATCTGTTCCCTTTGACAGATTTAGTCTTTTTTTATTATATTTAGTTCTTTTTTTGTTTTAGTAGATCTATCTTTCAGAGCATTCTTAACTAGTTTTTTTTTAACTCGTTAAGGAATTCTCTGAATCTGCATTTTACAAGCAATGCATGTTGGAAAATAGTGACAAAAATTATGCATAATTTGCCTGTTAGGGTTTGTTTATGTAGAGCTAACAATGTGTAGTTGTGCCACACAACTTAATTGTAATTGTTACATGCTATGTGTGTACCGCTATCTCCAGAATTTCAAGCTTAACTATTATGAGAACTTATTTTTCAATAATTTCGCTAAACTATCCACTTAAATAAATAAATAATAATATTTGTTAATCTGCATCATGTAATTTATACACTTCATACATCTTGCTCATTAACTTTTTTAAAATCTAAAAAAAAAGCGAAAATTAATAAGCCTGAAATTAATCACAACTAAGTAATGTATTAATTTTCTGTAATGCATTCCCAAGGAAAGGAAATTTTACTAACATTAAAAATAGATATCAATTATGATATCTCTCTTTGCATATTATGCATGTAATATTTTCTTACAATTTAAAATTAGATAGAGCTATGTGTATTCTAGATTATTTATATTCAAATATTTTTTATTTTGGAAGGAAATATATTTTCTCCGCGAATTTTATCACTGTGGTTTTCATATTAATATAGGAATAAATGTTTAGTTCGGCTTACGAACTAAGGAGAAAAACACCACTTTCATTAAGATTTTCAGTGGTACATTTAATATGAACTGTTTTCTGAATGTAATGAATATAGGAGAGGGGGTTTTAACACACATGTGATTTCAGCAACATTTAAATATTATACAAACTAATGGCATTAATCAAAGCAAGATGTTTATAGAAGTTTCAGAATTGGTTGTTTGTAAATTAATTACAACCGTATTATCAAGAAACTTACACATATAAGTATGCACAGTATAATTCAATACAGCAGTTAACAGCAGGCTCAGGAGAGAAGCAATTAAGCTCTAATATGAAATTTACAAATGCACAAGAGCGGCCACAAAAACAAAGTTCTATGAAAATGTCTCATTAGTTGACAAATTCGCAGTATAAAGAATTAATGCTGGACAAACAATACTTTTATAATTTCAGTAAAACGTACCTCCTGTGTGAGGAAGAGTGAATAGAAATTAACCTGAGCCTGTTGTTCTAAAATATGTCTCTACAATTTGTCCACTGATACTAACTTTTTTTTCAACAAACAACTGATATTATTTGAATTATTTCATGCCATACAAATACAAATCTAAAATATTTGCTCTACTGAATAAAAACTGAAACTGAAATTAAGATATACAATAGCTATTTTACATAAGGCTTGGTACACAAATTAATTCACAGTTAATTAAGTAATACAATAAATTTTGCATTTAAGAAATGAGACTCTTAAACTACGAGTAAATTCTGAATACGAAAGCAGCAAATATTTCCGAATGAGAATTTTAGCTCTTTCGGTACATGCTCTTCTCACAATTCAAGTTTTCGCGATTAAAGGAGAGCAAAGTAAATGCAATCTACCAGAGCTTCAAAGATGCTTGCTCAGTTTTGATTTCCAGTTAGGGATGTTCTTCTTGGTCTGGGTAAGTCATAGTCTTCCATCGACAAAGTTCTTCTGCGTCCTACTGCGCCCAGGGTCTTATGAATAATCCCTCCTCCAGGATGCGCTTTTTGTCGTTCGACGCCAGGCAGGGTGACAGATGTTACTAATTAAAATGAATGTATTAATTGATTATGCCTATAATACATATTTCACGGTACACTGTATTAAAGTAACCACAATTATAACCAGTGCTTAATTTTACCCAAAGCGAACTGTATCTTAGACCCGGCACTTCCAATTTTTCTGACAGATATCGTTCATTCCTTTATAGATGCTTTGATATTTTTACACAAATGAGCATATTTGAACCGTTTAAGACCAGAGGACGTTATAAAGACTAGTGACAGGAAGACTATATAGAGGTATGACCAGTGTTTTTCATATACTAGTGAAGATAACCTAAATCGATTTCACTAGCGTAATATTTATAATGAAAAGTTATGATTTCTTTGTATTTTTCTGAATAAGTTTTTATTTTTCATATAAGTTAGTGCCCCCATAAACGTGGGTTAATAAGTTCGAAGACCTACCGCAGTTATTTAAAACCTCAGATAATATCCAATGTAATGTGACATTACATTATCCTTTCTTTAAGTTTATCATTATTTGGGATGATCATTATTTGGGGCAGAATCTGATTAAATTTTAGAACTGGGTGTTAATCACCCGATGTCCATCCACTGCGGATTTACCTTAATTTTTAGCATGAATAACGTTGATATGCTGCTGAAGATAGCATAATCAGGGACAGAACATGCACTTTATATGCTTGTTTCATAAAATTCATTTGAGACATATATAATTGATGTTCAAAAGAAACTTTCAGAAGAAAGCTATACAGTTGTGTCTTGCATTCTTTCTAAATTTTTTTCAAAAAAATTCTTTTAAAACATGTTTTTCATATTTTTTAAACATTATTGAATAGAAACAGCATTTTTCTGACCCCAGTCACAATCGGAAAGTGTTAAGTGTATAACAAAATATAAGTTTTGATATTTCATACTTACAGAATCCCAGACCTTTAACAAAGAGATGAAGACTTTGAGCAAGTTTCTCTGGCTGAAAGGCAAAAAGATATGTAAGGTATCTATAATCTTCAGCATTGTTCATCTGAGAAGAAAAATAAAATAAGTAAGGGATATTTTGCACCAGACTTCATCACTTACGACATTAAGATAAGGTCAACTAAAGAAAAAAATATGGGAGCATTAAGATCAATAACACCTCTAAATTGCATAAAGATATTAGAAAAAAATAAATTATTTAATCGAAATGCTTCATATTAATTTTAGAACCCGTTTTTTTACTTTAACTTCCTTACCTACTAAGACTCGTTTCATTTTCCTGCCAGAATGCAATTTTCCAGCCCGCACGATATTCAAATTAGGTAGAAAGAAGGAAGTATTTAAAGGAATGCTTTGGAGAGGGAAATCATAGCGTGTTCTGCTTGCTTGAAGACCACGTTGCTAACTTTGATTATCTAGTGATTAGAATTCTGCGGCGTTGAGTTATTCTTGCCATTAGGCTTGTTTACGCACAACAGACATGTCTTTGTTTGTCAATGGCAATGTCTTTGTCAGAGCTAGCTTGCGAGCTAGTTATACTGTGAATCCGTTAGGCTATACTTAATCAATTATAAGTTTATCCATTATCCTTGATTTAAGTAAAAAATGTTGACTTTTGTAATCACACGTTGGTGCCGTCTGTTAAAACTTTATTTGGATTAATGAAAAGATCCTTTACACCCTTCTCCTGACACTTGTAATTTCAAACATAATGATAAATCGCTTACGTCTACCAAAGGTTTTGGTTACAGATTGCAAGAGTGAAAGACTTAAAACCTGATTGCGTAGTCACTACTTCACAATATTCACTCCACGTCACTATTTTTCAACTTCGAGTAACGATAGCGAGTGACTTGATAAACAATTTTGTTGTATTAATGCTACATTTTAAAATTAATTTTCCCTGCATACAATTTTATATCTTTTTGTGTGGATAAATTCTGGTAGATTTCTCACCATACTTTTAATCCTCTAAGTTTTTGATGCATCAGACATCTGCTTTTCTGACTCAAAATTCTAAATAATCTTAGAAAATATTAAAATTAACGAAACTAAAATTCATTGCAATTATTTGGGTTTACGAATAACAGTAATAAGAAAGAAACATATATGTCGCATGTACAGAAAGTAGTAACCATTTTCAAAAGAAATCAGATCAACAAAAAAAGTTTTTGTTTGAAAGAACATGCCTTGAGAATTTCACTTAAGCAATTATAACGTTAATGTATTTATCACACCGAGATTTCGTATACTCTCACCATACATTTACGCAACCAATGTGCATTGAAAAATGCACTTATCTTTTACTGGAAGTCTTCACCATTTTCCTTCCCCCGAAAAAAACCCAACAACTTCGACTATAATGTTCATCTGAGAACTACAATGTTCTACAATGTTCATCATCGCCCTCTACACAATATCTGCTTCAGAATCATCGGTAGGAGCATGGAGGTAGGAAGTAGGAAGTTCTTTCTTACCTTAATGGGTAGGAGATTTGAGTGCACTTTTCCTGCAGTCCTGAACTCGCCGCTCAGCGATTACCATTTCCCCCACAAAATTAAAAGAACTTTTCTCTGGAAAGCGCTTGTCTTACAAGGAATTTTCCCAGCTAATAAACCCTATATTGCTCAGTGAACTATATGCTGAAATGTATGACGAAGAAGTGCACTGATTTGTATTCAGCATTAAAGGATAATTGTAAAAGTGATGCTAACTGTACAAAGACCGATTAATCCTCTAAACGTAATTATGTATGGTACTTATACATTACTCAGCGCAAAAACCAACTGCTGTGCAAATACTTGCGTGCAAGATATGGCGAAAAGGCTAAATCATAAGAGGAAAGTTAGACTTGCGCCTTTACATTGGTTAAATGTCAGTCTGTTAAGTTTCAACGTAATCATTTGCTGTTAACCATGTCTGAAGATTATCATTCAGATAAAGTTGTGGTGAGTGTTTGGTAGACTTGAGGAGGGTCAAACGTAGTTGGAGGTACCCAGAAAGTAAATATTACCACAGACTTGCTCTAAAAAGTCTGAAACCGCTTTCTAAGCATGGGAAGAGCGAGTCTTCTTATTACTGATCAAGGTTATGTGAGAGTATAAGCACCTGACTGCTATTTTTTTTTTTTTCATGGCACAAATAAACTGTTAAACCACTAAGTTGGTGACTTGGGTTCTCACAGCAGCCATTAATCCTTGAATAAACATACCTACTACTTATCGAAGGCTTGGTGAGCGCGGTCTTTCTGCCAAAAATATACGGTTCTGAATACCGCTTTTTACGTCTTCCAGGATAGAACTTTAAAGACGAGGCCTTCATCGATAGTGGAACTAAGATGAATGAGATACTCTTCGCAGGTGAGTTCAGGTTCCTCTTAAATAATGATTTTGGATGGACTTTCATTTGGACAGCCTATAAAACGTAATTTTCTTTCACATATGCGGCTTGTATTACGACAGGATTTTTATTTTTGGAGAAGTCACAAGAAACGGCCGTACCGAATCTGTGACAGATTTCATAACCTCCCAGAGGTTTGTATTACTCAGGTGAAGGTCTGCATTCCCAAAGAAGTCTTTAGGGCTAACTCGAATATTAGCGGGCTGGTGAGAGGTCCCAAACCAACTGTCTAGTTGTTGCACAACGGTTTCGTTGTGCCAGCAAAGATGCAAAACGGTCGTCAAGTACTACTTTTATTTTGGAACGAAGTTGACTACCGAGATGACTAACTATTCTCATGCTTAAACTGCGGTTTCAGATTTTTGAAATCAAGATTTTGGGACTATTCAGGTGTTTAGAGGTGACCAGCAGTGTTCGACCTGCCTCGAGTCTACTGACCATTCGCTGGTTCTAGCTGACTTCTAAATGATATCTTTAAATTATGATTAACATCATCTGGCTAATTTCAGGTTTAAAATTTCACATTTAAACAAGACATGGACATAACATTAAATGCGCTTTTTTCATTTGCTCAGTAGAACCTTTTTGGATTCAGGAACATACCTTTGACATAAAAATTACGCTCTGAAGAAGTTTATTCAGTCTTTGAATAATTAGTGTCATTTTTATAATTACCTTTTAATTTTGAACACCAGTATATAAAAATTTGTTTTCGGGTATGGTAACTGCCTCAGTGCGATGGGTATCTATATTAAATAATAGCCGAAGATAATTCGAAATAAAATTAATTTTAAAAGACAAAGTTTTTGTTCACTTGACTCCTTTTTTTTTTGTCTTATCAACTGTTATAATATGCAGGATATCTGCATATTGACAGCACAATAGGTTGGTTCTGTTTAGTTTATTATGGCAAAGTACACTAGGGTTGTCTACCTAAGGGAAGGGATGCCTTCTTTGATGATTTTCTAAGGTAAACTGGCTCGTATACATGTCAAGCATAGTGGAAACCACGAAAACGTCCATGCAGCCAGCCCGTTCGCCTGGACTCGAACCCAGGTCGGAACTGCCACTGTTCAGTGATTTTAGTGCTTGGCCGCTGGTGGGCGATAGCACAATAGAATAACTTCCAGTATGGATTGAAAATACACAAATCTTTTCTAAAATGAAAACCTATTTGATTCGCTGTCTTTACTAATAAACTGAATCTCTATAAAGTTTATTCCCACCATGATTTAAGCCCACCAGCGGCTGAGTGTTAAAGTTGCTGAACGCTGGTAGTTGAACCAAGTGAGCGTGCTGGCTGCATGAGCGTTTTCGTAAATTTCCCAAAGTATAACTTGGATATGGATCGGTTTCCCTTAGGAAGTTCTCCACGAAGGCATCTCTGCTCTTAGGCAGATAGCCCTGGCGTGCTTCGTCTTAACTCGTTAAACGCCTAGACGGTTGTGCTAAACTTTCTATTTATGCCTATCATTATCACCAAAGGTACGCGATAATACGATGTACGATGATCTTATATAACCATATCGTAGAATTTCGAAACGTAAGTAGCTGTTAACATCTCAACTTGGCTTCTTGCTGCTTCAGGGAAAAAAAAAAAAAAATGCACAAATTAGTGACAATTTGTACTAACGTAAAAAATACAAAAATAACCGATAGCTATTTTTTTTTACATTTTTATTTTTACAATTCTGCTTTTTTAAAAAACATACAAAAAGGACTAATTTTGATTTTTTGCACTTTATTTTTTGAACGCATTAAAAAAGGGGGAAAAAAGGGTAAAATAAAAAGTGTGGATTTATTTTAAATAAAATAAGTCTTCATTAATGTGAATGACAAAAAATCCGAAAGAAAAATAAATTATAAATCCTTATTTCGCTTTCTATTTAACAGAGGCCTATGTATAGGACAATGGTAAAATCCACTATTATATTATATGACGTTAAAACATAACATTGGAGTGAAATGGTTACGGCCGTTTCATCCCCTGGCTGTAAATTGTAGCGAACAACTGTTTCTTGTCCTGCGTTCCCTCTTGTAAAGAGTTATATTTAGCATCTGAAAGCCGTTTCACACGTTTTATTTATATGAAAGAAATTTACTTTCGTGAATGTTTATTTTGTAAGGTATATTTATTTTACGCATCCAAATTTCTAACAGCTGAAGAAGCTTTGGAATATTTTATCACATTCGATGATGTAGATACTGAGCCGGAAATGGTAATAATACCACCTGATCCAGAGGAACTCAGTGACAATGAAGAAATAGATAATGACTGCACTAAAACTAGACACAGCCAAGTTATTTGTGACGAAAACACAGCGAGAAGTATAGAAACAGCAGGAATTGTGGAAATTTTCTCAGGAAATGAAGAAGATGAAATATGTGTGCCCAAACCTTGATTAGAAAGATTGCATTCCTAAATATTCACATGCTTCAGATATATTTTCTTAAGATTGATTTTGTTTCTGGAGAATCTCCCACAGAACTCTTTGAGTATGTTGTTGAAAAAATGATAGACAAAGCTGTTATTCAGAGTAACAGATACGCTGGGCAGAAAAATAATCATATTTTTTTAATGACAAAATATATAAT